CCGAGTTCTGTGAGACTCTAGCAAGTTACTCAAGACAAAAGGGAGGTCATAGAATTCTGACTGAAACCACACAGCTAGAAAGAAACAAGCTCAGGCTCCTATCCTTTGTTGTTTGGCTGCCTTTTTTCAAAACGAGATTCCCAGGATGAAAGTTTCTAAATTTTTATCATTTTTATCTGGTTTCGCTGTTGATGTGAATGGGCACAGAAGTGTCATAATGATAGAAGCATCACATTTAGTTTGAGATTCGTTGGCATTATAATACCTCTGTATTTTGCCTCTTTCCTTGTTTTGGTTTTTGGGAGACACCCAGCGGTGCAAGGGAATTACTCCTAGCTCTGTGCTCAGGGACATTCTTGGTGGTGCTCAAGTAATCGTAGGTGATACTGGGTTTTGAACCTGGGTCAGCTGAATGCAAGTCAAACACCACATCCACTGTACTCTCTCTCTCTCTCTCTCTCTCTGGCCCGTCTTTATTCCATGAAAGTGCTCTATCAAGTTACCACAGGCTTGGTGGTTGAAAACAGAAATTCACTCATCCAGTTTTTAGAAAGTTCAAAATCAAAGTTTCCATAGACCCAAAGGTTCTGGGAGATCAACTATTTCTGGCCTATTTCAGCTTCCTTCCTCTAAGTGCACTTAACTTGTGTTCACATCATTCCACTCCTACTCACTCAGCTCCTGTATCACTCTGTCTCCTTCCTAAGGGTATTTACCAGGGTATTTAAACCCACCCTGATAATTCAAGGTTTTTCCAACTTTAAACCCTTAACTACATATTTTCTCATTTCCAAATAAGGTCCAGCCACCATATCCTGAGTTTTAGAATGTGGGCACATCTTTGTGGGGTGTCATTAATAACCCACCCCACCATCCCTACATCTTTATCTGGAAATGCTCCCCAAGGAATCAGCCAGAGAAACTCGGCAGCTTGGCTCATTTGTTTGTCTTCTCCCAGGGATCAGCTGACCAGCTGCACTTGCTGCTGTTCTGATATTGTCTCTAAATTTTTGTTCAGTTTTCTAGTTGTATAAACAGGAGGGCAAATCCAGTCTGCTTCTCCAGCATTATGAGAAGCAGAAGCTCTACCAAAGAGTTTTAAATTTATTGAATATGGCTATCTCTGGTGTCTTGCTCAATTCCACATAAGTAGTCTCACTGGAAGTCCTCCCACAGCAAATGATGAACAAATGAATGAAAAGCCAGCTCATCTGAGGCCTTCTGTTTTTCTCTAAAGAATGGTCATGGGACTGGAGAGATAGCACAGCAGGTAGGGCGTTTGCCTTGCACGCGGCTGACCCGGGTTCGATTCCCAGTATCCCATATGGTTGCCTGAGCACTGCCAGAGCCAGGAGTAACCTCTGTGCATCTATCTTCAGGTGTGACCCAAAAAGCAAAAAGAAGAAAAAAAGAAAAAGAGTGGCCACAATTCATGATCTAGAGACTCATTATAATTTTCTCAGAAGACAGCATAAAACAACTCGCCACAGCCATGATGCCAAACCTCGTGCCAGGCTGTTTCATTCAGGGCACCCCAGCGGGGACCAGGTGAGGGCCCCCTCCATCCCCAAGAGACCCAGCCCTCGCAGCTGAAACCCTACAGAACTCAACTGTCGCCATGCTCATGGCAGCTCCCCACATGCTCAGGCTCAGCCTCACCCACAAGTGAACCTACTCCCGAACATCTCATACCTCGAACCATTTATATTCCAAGAGTAGCACACCACTTTTGATGAGGTTTAAAGTAGAAGGCAACCAACCTTAGAGGGAAATATATTTTTACAGATAGATAGATAGATAGATAGATAGATAGATAGATAGAAGCACACAAGGCTCAACCTTTAACAACATGTTAGTGATTTCTTATAGAAGAGTTTAATGACTCCCTTGGTGAAATATAACAATCTTCACACACTTTTCTCTAAGGAAACTATTTTGGAGCATTTTAAGCAGTTTATTAATAACAAACAATACAAAATACTGTCCTTAGATGTTAGATGACAGTAGAGATAAGGGCCAGGAGGATCACTCCACGGGTTGGGAGCCACCTCACATGCTGGAGAAAAGGCAACTGAGATGAAGAAGAGATCACAAAGTAAATGATGGTTGGAGGGATCATTTGGAATGGGGGATGTATGCTGAAAGTAGACTAAGGACCAAACATGATGTCCTCTTAGTATCTGCATTGCAAATCATAACACCCATAATTCATTTCATTTTTTCATTTCATCATCCTGTTATTCGTCGATTGCCTCGAGCAGGCCCCAGTAACGTCTCTTTCATCCTAGCCCTGAGATTATATTCAAGGCTATTTAGGAGAATGAGACCCATCGTTGTTACTGGTATTTGGCATATTTGGTAGGCCACGGGGAGTTTGCCAGACTCTGCCCTGTGGGCAGGCTACATTCGATAGCCTGCAAGTTTGTCCAAAGTAGGAATAAGCCAATAAGATGTCATAAAAAAAAAAAGTTCTCTTAAGATGTCGCGCGGCCGCAAATGCGGCCGCGCGGTTCCGGGATCTGGATTTTATAGTCTCTGAGTCTTGGCCGCTGATGGGATTACACGGCACCAGGGGGCCAGGTGGTGGGTGTGACCCCCGCCTACTGGAATTTGGAGGATCTGGGTGGAAGATGCTCGACTCCAATTCGAGTAGGCTTGGAGGTCTCGGCCCCGGAACCCGCGTGGCTTTGTCCCTCTGCCAGTACCTTCATGCGTGCGGAGAGTGGTCTCAGCATGGTGGTGGCTGGTCCTGGAGGTCTTCGGCTGCCGTAGCCCTGGTCAGGGCGGGGAGGAAAGCTCAACCCGCTCCCCTCCAAGGGACTCCGGGAAGGAACACCCAGGCGCGGGGGCAGAGACTGCAGAGACACCCATAATTAGAGAGAGCATAAGAAGGAATGTACCTGCCACAGAGGCATGGGATGGGATGGAGTGGGAGTGGCTGGAGGGAGACTGGGAACAATGGTGGTGGAAAGTGTGCACTGGTGGAGGGAAGGATGCTCGATCATTGTATGGCTGAAATGTAATCATCAGAGTTTGTAACTGTATCTCATTGTGATCCAAGAAAAAAATATAAAAGAAAACAAAGAATTGATCAAGCAAAAAAATACAAAATAAATTATTTTGGTTCTGCTTTGGGGCAGAGGTTGGGGTTCAGGATGGAAACGTCCAAAATATAGTGGTGGGAAGGTGTATTGGTGGTGGAATTAGTGTTTGAATATTAAATGTAATCAAATATTGTGAACTATTGTATAAAAGTTCAATTCAATTAAATTTAAAAAAAAGAGTGGCCACAATTCCTTTGAGTTTAGTTGGTTGGGTAAGCTTAAGTCAGCTCTCCTTAGCTGGTTCAAGTCTCTTTCTCAATCTATTCTTAGTCTTCTTTATTTTGATTTCACAGTTTATGCAAAAACAAACTGAGAATTGAAAATTTTAATGATCTGCCTATGGAACACATTTTGACTGGTGATTTATAAGTAGTAGATTTTACTGTATTTTAACCAGAATAAACAAAGAGTATGGGGGGCACAAGGGGGTGGGCAGAAGCTGATGTGGAAAAGGTGAGTGGTCTCTCTGACAAGGCTACTTCTCTTTGTATCTCCCCCTTACTGTCACAGGCAACTGAATGAAGCCAGATGATCAGTTGTTAGTAAAAAAAATGATGGGGCATCGAGAAAATATGAGGAATGAAAATAAAAAGAAAATAGAGAAGTTTCTTCTATAAAGATCACAAGTTAAACGTTTTATCTATCAACATAAAAAATAAATATGACCATATGTGGAGAAAAATGGTTTCTGTGCTTATTTTAACATTTGCACTAAATTTAAAAAGAAAAAAATTATGGGATAGAGAGATAGTACAGGGGTTAAGGTGCTTGCCTTGCATATAATCCCCATCTCCACACTTGGTCCTCAAAGCACTGCCAGGATCAGCCCCTGAGTACCACCAGGTGTGGCCCCAAAGCTTCTTCTCAAACAAGGAAGACAATTTATACTATAATAAACCAAGTTCCTAAGAGCACAGACTGACATTCAATAATCTGATTGTGTCTAAAATATAAAAATTTTCATATTTTGTCTTATTATTTCAGAGTTTAATTAAAAATATGAGAAAAACACATTACAATAGTCCTAAAAGGACATGTTGATGAGAGACAAATTAGATGTCTTCTACTTTATTGTAATACCCTGAAGTAACTAATATTAACGGTTTCTATATGTTCGACATATTCACCACATCTATGAAATATAAGCACATTTACATATGCAGTATGTGGCTGCTGGTTTTGCAAAAATGCAAAAGAAAGAAAAAACTTTTCCTTCATTTATAAACATACTGATGCCACCAGGTCAAAATACGTGTAGATTTACCTCAGGTTTTAAAATCTAAATTATGAATTTACTACCATTTATTCAGCTGCTCCTGTCAAATGTTTTTTCAGGATTTTGCCACCACATGTAAATAATCCTGCAATAAACACTTTGTCACTGCAGATTGTTTCCGTTTTATCAGCACAGAGATCTGAGCCTGGAAATATAATCCCTCAAACGTCAGCTCCATTCTGTCTGCAGAATAGAGCTAAAGGAAGACAAGATGAGCCATGAAAGCGGTAATTACTCCAGAGCACACATGGCCAGCAGCTCCTGCTACAATATTTACGTCCTGTCCCATTGAGATGGCACTCTGCTCACATGACCCAAATGCAGCTCTCACTCCACCAAGAGCACAGCCGAATCCAAACTGCATTGGCAGCTTTGCACATGCTCCGTCCGGCCCTGTGAATCCTCACTCACCCATTGAGATTTCCCTTGGTTTAAAACAACGTTCCAGCTGCCGACACGCCGTGGTCTCAGGGTTTTCCTGGCCCAGACCCAAGGCAGGTGGTGACCCAGAAATACTGTTTTTTTAGGGTTTGAGTTTTCTGGTTTGTTTATTTGGGTGTGGGAGGTGTTATTACACAGATAGGGCTGATAAAAGAGTCTATAAAAATAACTCTTTTTTTCTAGTAGGTATTATGGGAATAACATTTCCCTATTTTTTCCTTCATTTTCCTTAACAAAAATCTGCAGCTCTAATGCACATTGAATGCTCTTGGCAGGCACTGCTGGATCTGACTGTCGTGTTGACTGTAATGTGTGAGATGTGTTTTCTCCTCTCTACAGACCTGGACTTTTTTTTTTTGCCATTCTGATGGTAAATGATGAGACAGGCAACCATGGATTTCAGCACTCCATCTGTGTTTGATCAGCAAAAAGGTAAAAATGCTATCTAAACATTTCAATTCTTTGCATCTTTAGTTCAACAATAGAGATTTGCAGTTACAACAGAGATGTGTGTGTGTGTGTGTGTGTGTGTGTGTGTGTGTGTGTTGTGAGAGAGAAAGAGAAAGAGGCAGAGATATAGAAAGAATTTTGAAAGAGAAACCTGTTCTCAATATTCGCTACTAATTTGTTGAGAATTTGGAAGAAAAAAACATAAGCTTCTAGTCTGTTTGTGTTATTGTCTGCCTACCAATTTTAAGAACTGGGTTTCAAGTGAACCAGTTATTTCAAATAGTATCATCTTTATTCTTATACGTTATCTTTTAACCTTTGAAAATAGAGTAAGTTGTATAAAAGAACAAATCATGTCTCTTTTCATTCTGGTAGCCCATTATTTCATTGTTATAGTTTTATAAATACCTTTTGCTTTCCTTCTGAAATAAATGTTGCCCAAATCAATGCTGTGGTTGATATATTATCTCATATGAGGTTGTGTAATGACTTATCACCATGTGATTATTTGCAATGACAGAATCTATATTCTTACTCATAATTTCTAGACTGGAGGTAATTTTCCACATGAAAACAAATTCTGTGAAATTGGCCCATCCTTGTTTTTTTAAAAACCTATGCATGGATTCAGTCATATAGTCTATGTGTGACTATTTTTGCACATAAATTGTATCTATATAATAGGTTCATGATATGCATGTGCAGTTATACATTCTTGTCTGGATATACAGGCAATTTTCATTATGTAAACATAATAAATATTTTTAATTTACAATGTCTGATTCTAATTCACTTTTTTAATCTCTGAATATTTTTAGATTCTTTGGTCATTTACTTGTTTTGATTACAATATAAAAATGATGGTTAGTGAAAACCTCGTTAGGAAATTCATTGCTTCTTTCTCTTTCCCTTTTTTTGGCCAGTATATTTACCACCCCTCGAACTGTATGTGGTTTCATGAATGAGTTATTTTAGCTCAGTCCATTCTCAAATAACAGATTTACATTTAGATTTCTGAATAACTGTATGTGTGATATATATGTCTCTATATAAAAAGAGAGCTAAATATAGAGGTAGAGACATAGAGATACAAGTAAAGATTTTCCAGCCTTAACTCAAATAATAAGAGGGGAAGTGGGATGGAAAGACTTCAGATCTTCTGGGTCCTTTGAATATGAGAACCATAGGAAAATAATTATTAAGCTCTAACATCTTTGCACCCCCTCTCCTCTTTGTACATTTTGTTTTCATGATGACAATTATAAAGTGAAAATTTGCTTAAAGCCAAAAACCTCAGATTGGCCAAAAAAGAACAGGATGAATCTCTGATCCAAAGAGGAACACAATGGCTTGGTTTTTCCAGACTAATTTGAGGGAGCTGAGCTGACTGCAGAAGCAGCCCTGCAGATGAATTTATCCCTTGCAATGTCTCCTCACACAACTGATCCCCCACCAGTACTAAACTATTAATTACATTATAGTGTTTATTATAGCACCTTCATGTTGAGCAATTCCTCCAGCCTTGGACACATTCACCCTCATGCACTTTAACCCTCTCCGTGTCATCTTTACCTCTGAGGTGCTGTGCTGGGGAGAAATGACATGAGCAACACAGGTCGGAAGGGCAGAACAGGGTCTTCCTAGCTGTATAGGCAAGCTACCGAATCTCTCAGGATTTTTAGTTCCTTTATCAGTAAATACAGAAATGGTGGTTGACTTTGCAGAATTGTTGTGAGAATATTAAAAAATACATAAAAAGTAATTAGCATCCTCCATGACCTGTAGAAATCACTCTCAAGATGTGACTGCTTTTCCTACTATTACTGCTGTAATAGTAGAAGTCATGTGATCCATTGATTCCTGTTTATTATTGCCACACTAGACAGTGAGTCCCCTAAAATGTATTCCTCTTTTCATCTCCAGGGTTGAGTTAAGCAGTCTTCCAGGTAAGGTAAAGGTAAAGGCCCTCCCGTTGTTCGTCGATTTGCTCGAGCGGGCCCAGTAACTTCTCCATTGGAGACTTTGTTGTTACTGTGTTTGGCATATCGAATACGTCACAGGGTGCTTGCCAGGCTCTGCCTTGCAGGCTAGATACTCTCGGTAGCTTGCCGGGCTCTCCTAGAGGGGCGGAGGAATCGAACTCGGGTCGGCCATAGTTGGCCGCTTGTAAGGCGAACACCCTACCGCTGTGCTATCACTCCAGTCTTCCAAACAAATGATATTTAATTCATGCTGATTGAGGAAATTGCATTAGTTCCCCCCACATTTCCCCCAACCCTGAATACAAAGCACCATTTAGAGCAACATCTAGAATAATAATAATAATAATAATAATAATAATATCTCAACATCTAGAATAATAATACCTGAATAGCTCTGTTCTCATTAAACACCCCACTTTTTCAAAAGCATGGAAGATCATCATAATTTTAACCATTAGTTTTTAAGTCTATGTTTTTAGGGAAACCATAGTAAAATAACCTTCTGAAACAACATTGAGTGTGGTATGATATAATTTATATATAGGGGAGCAAACCTGGAGTGGCCACTGACTTTCCTTAAGGGTGTTGACAATAGGCATTGCATCAGGAAGGATCTCAGAAGTCATGTGATTCATTGATTCCTCAAACTTGGCCTCACATATGAATCAAAAGAGCAGTATTTCAAACTCCGAGTGCCTGGGTCTCAGTCCCAGAAAGCCCCACTTAATTGGGGTCTGACTCAACAGAAGCTCTTGGGTAGTTCTAACACCCAGTGAAGATGGATACCCGCACACCCCACCCAGCCCCACTAATATCTTAAATGAGAAAATGAAATGGAGAAGATTTGAAAGGAGGTCCCTTCTAAGAAGGATAACAGTTCTCCCACGCGACAGAGGGGAGGGAACCCTGATCTTTTCTATTCAGAGAGCAGCACCACAAGAAAATTCCTTTCCTGAGCAACGTCTGCACCTACAGCCACAATGGGATGGGGCAGGGCTCATGCAGCTCCCGCTCCTGGGTTCCCAGAAAACAGTGTTGACGCTCGTAAGAAACACGAGGCCTATGACCTTTTGGCCCCAACCCTTCCAGCTGTACCTTTCTGTACTGCTCCTGAGCTAGAAGACATCTTTCTCCTGGGGGCCTGGGGAGAGATGGAACTTTGCTCCAGTTTGGTCTCAACCCTCTTTGCAGACAGACGCATCAACAGCATCATCTACTCTGTAACATGTGCATAGTTTCTACAGACCCTCGAAGGTTGCTGGGAAGCCTAAAAGATGGTGTCCGCTGATGGACCTTGGTGTGCAGCTGGGAGGCAGGAAGCAGGAGGCTCAGGGCTCTCCCCCCACAATTTGTGTGTTTGCTCGCACCATGGCAACATGGCTTCTGCTCCCACGTGCTCTTCCTGGCTGTCTTCCCTCTCAAACCCACACTCAGGAAAAAGGCCTGTAGTAAGATTATTTACTACAGAGCACAGACGCTCCTACTGAAATATTATGTAAGTGAAGATATTTGCATTTTAAGCTTCGTTTCTAATTGTGGAGAGAAAAGGCTTTGCTCTACCCCTCCTTCACCCCCCATCTCCCTTCCTGGGCTCTGGAGAAACTGGGAGAAGGGTGATCACAGGCTTTCCCCAGCTCCTTGGTCCACCCTCAGCTTAGTGAGGGCTCCTGCCCACCCCATGAGTTGTTGGCGGGAGTGTTGTCTGGAGGGGAGAGAGGATGAACAGGACTGCTAAGTCCCATGAAGACAACAGTTTGGTGGCCCTGTACAGTTGCCACCCATGACTGCTGGCGGGCAGCTGGGATGTGTTGTCTATCTGGCAGCCCGGAAGGCTAAGTTTGAATCAAGATATCAGGGTTGTCCCTCCAGAAGGCTCTAGAGAAGGGTCCCGCCTTGACGTTCTGGTGTCTGGCCTCACCACTCTCATTTCTGTCTGTTTTCCTGTTGCCTTCTTCTCAGTATTTGTCTCTCTGTGGACTATCTTTCTCACCTCTCTCTCAAAGAGAGAGAAGAGTTGCCAAGGCAAGCTAGAAATTGAACTTAGCCTCTGCAAATAGGATTGTGAGAAGTCTATTCTACTCTCTCCGTGCCTCCCTTTTTTGTGATGGGTTTAGGGCCCACCCAGAGACACTACAACTCTCAGGATTCTTAGTCACCCTTTTGTTACATGAAAGGTGAGCACTCACCTACCCTTTAGGCCAATGGTCACAGAGGAGCTGGGCACTAGAACTTGGGTGGATCTTCAGGGCCCTCCCTCACTTAGCCAACCAATAGCATGAAAATATCAAGCCTCTTCTCGGGGAGCATGTGACCTAGAAACGGTGGTGAAACCATTTCACTTCACTTGGAAGGAAATGTGGCACGGGGAGCAGGGAGTGGGCGACCACCTATTTCGCACAGACACAAGCAGCTGTGTTACACAGATTGCATTCTCATTGTTTAGTGAGATCTTCGCAGAAAGTCTGAACCGAGGACAGCTCAAAGATCAGCTTGATTGATCCTCAGACCAGGCCCATGGTTACCCTCCCCACCCCTTGCCCTTCGCCAATAAGGAAAATTTAAAAGTTTGTGGATTGCCACAGTTCCCACAGACAAAAGTAGAGCTGAAATTCTCCTTCACTTCAACCCCCTGTGTTTGTTTTACCACGGTAGAGTTGATCAACCAGAGTTACAAAGTTTAATGAAGATATAAGACTTCCACAAAAAATCAAGTTCATGAAGCATTTTCTCATAATCAAGCCGCTTTCTCATTGTGAGGTATACATATATATATACACATATATATGTGTGTGCATTATATATATGTGTGATACACACACACACACATATATATATATATATATATATATATTCCCACACATGTTACTGGTTATAATTTACAACTTTTCATCCAAAAAGGGAAAGCTAAACAAAAATCTGAGTGCATAGATTTTCACTTTGCTGAAAAAGCAAAAGCTAAAATTCTGGTATGACAACAGATGACTCCAGAGAAACATAACA